TGGTGTGGGTCACATCCTGGGTGTTAGTGGACTGGTGTTGGGTCACATCCTGGTGTTAGTGACTGGTGGGGTCACATCCTGGGTGTTAGTGGACTGTGGTGGGTCACATCTGGTGGTTAGTGACTGGGGTGGGTCAACATCCTGTGTTAGTGACTGGTGTGGGTCACATCCTGGGTGTTAGTGGACTTGTGTGGGTCTATCCTGGTGTTAGTGGATTGGTGGTGGTCACATCCTGGGTGTTAGTGGACTGGGTGTGGGTCACATCCGGGTGTTTAGTGACTGGTGGTGGGTTCAAATCCTGGTGTTAGTGATCACTGTGTGGGTCACATCCAGGGGGGGGTGTTTAGTGGACCTGGTGGGGTCACATCCCGGGTTGGTTAGTGGACTGGTGTGGTCACATCCTGGGTGTTGCAGTGGACTGTGTGGCGCATCCCGGGTGTTTAGTGACTGGTGTGGGTCACATTCCTGGTTGTTATGGACTGGTGTGGGTCGCATCCCGGGTTTAGTGGACTGTGTGGGTCCACATCCAGGGTGTTAGTGGACTGGTGTGGTCCATCCTAGGTGTTAGTGGACTGGTGTGGGTCACATCCGAGTGTTTAGTGGACTGGTGTGGTCACATCCCGGTGTTAGTGACTGTGTGCGTCACATCCTGGTGTTAGGGACTGGTGGTGGGTCACAATCCCGGTGTTAGTGGACTGGTTGTTGGTCACATCCCGGTTGTTTAGTGACTGGTGTGGGCACATCCCGGTGTTTAGTGACTGGTGTGGGTCACATCCTGGTGTTGTGGACTGGTGTGGGGTCACATCCTGGGTGTTAGTGGACTGGGTGGGGTCTACATCCTGGTGTTAGTGACTGGTGTGGGTCACATCCTGGGTGTTAGTGACTGGTGTGGGTCACATCCTGTGTGTTCAGTGGACTGGTGTGGGTCACATCCTGGGTGTTAGTGACTGGTGTGGGCCATCCTGGTGTTAGTGGACTGGTGTGGGTCACATCCTGGGTGTTAGTGGACTGGTGTGGGTCACATCCCTGGTGTTTAGTGGACTGGTGTGGGTCAACATCCTGGGTGTTAGTGGACTGGTGTGGGTCACATCCTGGTGTTAGTGACTGGTTGGGTCACATCCTGGGTGTTTGGACTGGTGGTGTGGGTCACACCTGGTGTTAGTGACTGGTGTGGTCACATCCTGTGTTAGTGGACTGGTTGTGGGGCACATCCTGGGTGTTAGTGGACTGGTGTGGGTCACATCCTGGGTGTTAGTGACTGTGTGGGTCGCATCCTGGGTGTTAGTGGACTGGTGTGGGTCACATCTGGGTGTTAGTGGACTGGTGTGAGGTCACATCCTGGGTGTTAGTGGACTGGTGTGGGTCACATCCTGGGTGTTAGTGGACGTGTGGGTCACATCCGGGGCTTAGGGATGGTGGGGGTCACATCGGGTTTTTAGGGGACGGTGGGGGCAAAAATCCGGGGTTTAGTTTGACGGTTGGGTCACATCCTTTTAGGGGACGGGTGTGGTCACCCCGGGGTTTAGGGGACGGTGGGGGCCATCCGGGGTTTATTTGACTGGTGTGGGCACATCCGGGTGTTGGGTGGGGGGGCACCCGGGGTTTAGGGGGACTGGGGGGCCATCCGGGGTTTAAATGACGGGTGGGTCCATCCGGGGTGTTGTGGACTGGTGTGGGTCACATCCTGGGTTAGTGACGGGTTTGGGGGTCACATCCGGGGTGTTATGAGGGGTGGGGGTCACATCCGGGTTTAAGGGGCCCGGTGGGGGGTCCATCCGGGACACTGACCTAAAATTTTTTTTCCCCATGCAAATTTATCATAATCGGGGGAAGGGGCCAAAAACCCGATTATACAGCCCTGGGGGGGGGTGTGGAAGCATTCAGGCTTAAGGGGGAATGGAGCACAGATCCAATTCCCTAAATAAAGAGCCCCTCAAAAACATCAAAACCTTCCTTGAGGGGCCCGCACGAGCATAACAAGGGGCTGGGGCCTGGGGTTAACGCTCTCCGCTTCACACTGAGGGGGTGGTTGTCCCACCAAGTAAAAATTGGACTTTTCTTTCCACCTTTGTTTGTTCCCCCTCGTAAAATGGGACCGGGGGGTTTGTCACTGGGTTGGGGCGCTCCCGGGGAACACCTAAAGGCCTGGTCCGACCGGGCCGCGGGGGGGTTGACCCCCGGAAAATCTCCTCCAGAAAAAACCAAATATAGTAGTATTACTGTTTTCCCCAGGACTGTTACCATTACTTTGGAAATAATTTTTTGGTGGTTAATTTTCGGCTTCACAGGTTTATGTTAATAAAGGATAAGCTTCCCCGGGGCCCCCCACAAACCAACCCTCTGTGCTTTTGGGCAACCAGGGATTGCTGTGAAATACTTGTCCATTTTTCCCCTTTAGCATTTTTAAGCTTGTTCCCCGCAAGGGTTTTCACCCTGTGCAAACATTTGTTCCCGCAAGTTTCCACACTTCTGTGCAACATTTTTCCCAAAATTTCTCACATCTTCTGTCAAAATTTGTTCCACAAGTTCTCACACCCCTGTGCAACACATGTTCCAGCAAGGTTTCTCACATCTTCTGTGCAACACTTGTTCCAGCAAGGTTTGTCACATCTGTGCAACATTTGTTCCAGCAAGGTTTCTCACATCTTCTGTGCAACATTTGTTCCAGCAAGGTTTCTCACATCTTCTGTGCAACATTTGTTCCAGCAAGGTTTCTCACACATCTGTGCAACATTTGTTCCAGCAAGGTTTCTCACATCTTCTGTGCAACATTTGTTCCAGCAAGGTTTCTCACACCTTCTGTGCAACACTTGTTCCAGCAAGGTTTCTCACATCTTCTGTGCAACATTTGTTCCAGCAAGGTTTCTCACACCTGTGCAACATTTGTTCCAGCAAGGTTTCTCACATCTTCTGTGCAACATTTGTTCCAGCAAGTTTTCTCACATCTTCTGTGCAACATTTGTTCCAGCAAGGTTTCTCAACACTTCTGTGCAACATTTGTTCCAGCAAGGTTTCTCACATCTTCTGTGCAACCTTTTGTTTCAGCAAGGTTTCCTCACACCTTCTAGTGTCAACATTTGTTCCAGCAACGTTTTCCTCACATCTTCTTGTGCAACATTTGTTCCAGCAAGTATCCCTCATATCTTTCTAGCAACATTTGTTTCAGTAACACTTGTTTCCAGTAGTGGTTTCTCAAATCTTCTAGCAACCAGTTTGTTCCAAGTTACACTTTTACCAGTAGTGTTCTCCTATCTTCTATGGCTACATTTTGTTCCAGTAACACTTGTCCAGTAAGGTTCTATCTTCTATCCTACATTATGATTTTCAGAAACACTTGTTCCAGTATGTTTCTCACATCTTCTATTCAACATTTGTTTTCAGTAACACTTTCCAGTAGTGTTTTCTCACATCTTCTATGCAACATAGGTTATATCTTCCTCAACAAAGACAGCCAATGTTGCACAGTGTCTCAATCTTCAACTTGTCAGGTTTTTCTCAATTATTTCATCCTATTTAATGTTAAACTTAAATTTAACACAATCTGTAGTGGCAAAAAAAATAAAAACTGTGACTGACTTTTTTGGGTCCCATCCCCCAGGTTCCATACACATATGCTGCTGTGTATGATAATGCTATTACCTGTATTTGTGTTATATCTGATAAACTTACTTAACAAAAGCTGCTGGGACTAGTAACGAATTAAATATCTATGATAGAGTTTATTAATGACAGCTCGTGTGTACGCACTCTCAGATGTAATTAAAACACTAGAAGTGCGTGTCTCATTGTATAAAACACTGAGAAATTGCGTGTTCTCAAGTGTTTACACAGCTGAGAAGGTTGTGTCTCATGTATAAACACTGAGAAGTGCGTGTCTCAGTGTATAAACACTGAGAAGTGCGTGTCTCAGTGTATAAACACTGAGAAGTTCGTGTCTCGTGTCTAAAACACTGAGAAGTGCGTGTCACATGTATAAAACTCTGAGAAGTTGTCGTGTCTCAGTGTATAAACACTGAGAATGCTTGTCTCAGTGTATAAACACTGAGAATTGGCGTGTCTCAGTGTATAAACACTGAGAATGCGTGTCTCAGTGTATAACACTGAGAAGTGCTGTCTCAGTAAATAAACACCGAGAAGGTGCGTGTCTCTGTGTATAAAACCACTGAAAGTGCGTGGTCTCAGTATAAAACACTGAGAAGTGCGTGTCTCAGTGTATAAACACTGAGAAGTGCGTGTCTCAGTATATAAACACTGAGAAGTGCGTGTCTCAGTGTATAAACACTGAGAAGTGCGTGTCTCAGTATATAAACACTGAGAAGTGCGTGTCTCAGTGTATAAACACTGAGAAGTGCGTGTCTCAGTATATAAACACTGAAGAAGTGCGTGTCTCAGTGTATAAACACTGAGAATTGCGTGTCCTCAGTAATAAACACTGAGAATGCGTGTCTCAGTGTATAAACACTGAAAGTGCGTGTCTCAGTATATAAACACTGAGAAGTGCGTGTCTCAGTGTATAAACACTGAGAAGTGCGTGTCTCAGTATATAAACACTGAGAAGTGCGTGTCTCAGTGTATAAACACTGAGAAGTGCGTGTCTCAGTGTATAAACACTGAGAAGTGCGTGTCTCAGTGTATAAACACTGAATAAGTGCGTGTCTCAGTATATAAACACTGAGAAGTGCGTGTCCTCAGTGAATATAAACACTGAGAAGTGCGTGATCCAGTAATATAAACACAGAAAGTGCGTGTCTCAGAGTATAAACACTGAGAAGTTCGTGTCTCAGTGTATAAACACGAGAAGTGCGTGTCTCAGTAAAAACACTGAGAAGTGCTTTGTCTCATTATATAAACCTGAGAAGTGCGTTGTCACAGTGTATAAACACTGAGAATTGCGTGTCTCAGTGTATAAACACTGAGACATGCATGTCTCAGTATATAAACACTGAGTTTACTTTAATCCCTATTTTTGAGATTTAAGTATTATTGACAGCTGTGAACGGTTAGATAGCCTTAAATATAGGCTTAATGACTCTCTTAAACCGATAGGATTTAAACACCGCTGATAATTCAACCAACTTAGTACGCTGAAACTGACTTTCACGTATATTAGAAAGAGCCAACTTCAACAAATATAACGAATACCAAAGATACTTAACTCAGAATGATTTTGCATATGCATGAGCAGCCCTTCAGCGTTATAATGTTCCTGTATATATTACCGAGGACTGAACTCTGCATGGTTTGACGTGCTGTAAATGTCTGTGTACCCTAACACCTCCGTTGTTCCATATGTGTTAGCTTGTAGCTGGGCTGTTAGTATTGAGACATAAGCTTACTGGTGCTAGTATTACAACAGCAAGAGTATGTGAGATGGTTTAACCATCTTCCTTGTATGTAGTTACAACAGCAGAGCTGTGCTGGTGGTATACCATCTTGTATGTAGTTACAACAGCAGAGCTGTGCTGGTGGTATACCATCTTCCTTGTATGTAGTTACAACAGCAGAGCTGTGCTGGTGGTATGCCATCTTCAGTGGTTGTAGTTACAACAGCAGAGCTGTGCTGGTGGTATACCATCTTCAGTGGTTGTAGTTACAACAGCAGAGCTGTGCTGGTGGTATACCATCTTCAGTGGTTGTAGTTACAACAGCAGAGCTGTGCTGGTGGTATACCATCTTCAGTGGTTGTAGTTACAACAGCAGAGCTGTGCTGGTGGTATACCATCTTCAGTGGTTGTAGTTACAACACAGAGCTGTGCTGTGTATTTCCATCATCAGTGTTGCAGTTACGACAGTCAGAGCTGTGCTGGTGTATACCATCTTCAGTGGTTTAGTTACAACAGCAAGCTGTGCTTGGTGGAATACCATCTTTCAGTGATGCAGTTACAACAGCAGATCAGTGCTGGTGGTATACCATCTTCAGTGGTTGTAGTTACAACAGCAGAGCTGTGCTGGTGGTATACCATCTTCAGTGGTTGTAGTTACAACAGCAGAGGCACTGTAGGGGATTTTTGCGCAGTATCAGTGACAAATATTAAAAGACCATTATTGGTCTTTGGGTACTCATCTTTATGCTGACAGCTTAAGAACCCTAGCAGCCACAGTTCGACGGATCAACTATCTTATCTCCCACTGAGCTGTAATAGAGCCAGTTACTATTATTAACACGCCACATCCTGTTATAGGTAAAAAAAGAGGGGACTATGACCTCTTACCACCACAGGTAAGAGACTATGTCTCTTACCTGTTGTGTACGAATGGTATATAATACCGACAAGATGAGAGTAAGACACATGTGCAACATCTGGGTATCTTTATTGTAGACGTTTCGCCATCCAGTGGCTTTATCAATACAAATTCCAGGACAAAACTTGAAGACATGTAGAACTATGTACAGAAGATGAGGTATCAGTCCCTCAACCTAGGAGTATGGCGAACAGCACCTAGGTTCTGTTCGGCACCTTCTCCTAGTTGAGGGACTGAATTACCTCATCTTCTGTACATAGTTCTACTGTCTTCAAGTTATGTCCTGGAATTTGTATTGATAAAGCCACTGGATGGCGAAACGTCTACAATAAAGATACCCAGATGTTGCACATGTGTCTTATTCTCGTCTCTTACCTGTGTTGGGCAGATCGCCTACCCATGAAAGCTTTGCTGGTTAGCCCTACTTCCCTAACACCTGGAGTGTTGGGGAAATAGAACTTACCCGACTCATTGTAGCAGGAAGCCTTGACGTTACTATGTCCTTGAAGGCGGTATTGATGGCTTGGCTGAAGATATGACATGGCACTTCTTCACTTCTTTCATCACTTTGGCCAAACTGAACATCACCTGACGACTGTCACTCATCCGCAAGTTCAACTTGTGAATATTCCCATGGATAATGTCCACAGTGGGGAGAATTAATGGTGACTTAGATTGCTAAGCAGAGATAACTATTTTACATTTCAACACTGTCTCTGCTCTAGTTCTCCTTAATATGTCTGTGATTATTTCCTTCTCAGTTCTTCCTGGAGATTGTCAGTGCACAACTTGAGTTTCATGAAGTGTACAAAAATGCACCCACAATTTTTTTTGTTTCAATGCAGCACTCTTGGAGCTCCAGTACATTTATATATAGTCAATTTTCTGCTGACATGTTTACGGACATAGATGCCAGCTGTGAATCCAAGGTGCTGGTTACTGAGTATAATGCCACTAGCTATGTTATTAAGTTAGAGGCATATTACTGCATATTTTTAACAGGTCTTAGGAATAGAGGCTTCCTCAGACAAACACATGAAATAATTATATTGCAGATTTTCTTGCAGGAAAGGAGAGTCAACTGTACATGTGCAAAGATTGTATATCCATTTCATCTACTTTGATCTACATCCAATCTTTCTATTCTTTGTTGGGTTTATCAGGGTCACTGACAGTTTAAGCTGTATCAAGCCTGACTTCTTCATGGCACGAGGAAGATTTGTTGCCCAAAGCTGGGCGATGAGAGAAAAGGAACAAAAATTCCTTTGTAAATAGAGATAGAAACCTGATGTTTCCAATTAGATCTGGTGGACCCCCTTGCCAAGCCCCAGCAGAGCAAGACGCCCACAACCCCACCTGAGTTTAGTAACCAGCTTCCCATGAAACACTGTTAAAGAATTATCCACAGAACGGAAAAATGGAGCTGGCTAAAAGTAAGCCGATGACCAGGTGCCCCTCCTGTAAAGTGCCCGGCGGGCAAAATAGATGAGAACAAGCACCCCAGAGAGAAGGGGTAAATTTGTCACTGATACCCAGGCAAGAGACATCCACACCCAATAATAACTGGTGCAGAAGTCCATCTAGATCCAATGTACAGGTGGGCCTCACTTATACAACGAGGGATGACCATTGTGGTTATGATTTAGGTAGACACATTGGTGGCAGTAAAAACAACAATATGAATGGCAATATGAATTAGAAAAACAGATAATGTTGGTATTTCTTTCATGAGTTCTGAAAGTTTTTTCACTCCAGAGCCCGGCCTTGGGCCAGGTTTGTCTGGTGCTTACCTGATGATAAATTGGGTTTAACAGAATTAGTGCATGCAGAATTTATGTCAGGTGAAGGAGGTGCTTTTTAACTATTCTCTTAAAGCAGGTGGCAGATAAGGAACTTTTTTTTAATTTTCAAGAAGGGAATTTGCATGGAGTTCTTAAGATAGGTTGAGTTGAACACGCAGTATGTCAGAGATAATTTATCTTTTTTAATGTGTCTATGTTCTGTTGCAGCTTTCCAGGAGTTATGCAAAGCAAGTATTCCTTTCTTGGATAGTGCAGTCACCAATATACTGTACATCTAAGTTTCCAGTATAGTCTGAGACTAGGTTACATGGAAGTGATACTCCTTGGTGACATTAACATAAAATAGATGTTGATAAATTAGACACATGTGCAACTCTTGGGTATCTTTATTGAAGAAACGTTTCGCCACACAGTGTGGTGAAACGTTTCCTCAATAAAGATACCCAAGAGTTGCACATGTGTCTAATTTATCAACGTGTCGGTTCTGTGAACCATTCATCTACAATAGAATAGATGTACATAATACCACGCCCTCAACAATGTTAAGCTCCCAGTATGAACATGACATGATAACAACAGGGATAGCATATAAGAACATAAGAACATAAGAATGTAGGAACACTGCAGAAGGCCTACTGGCCCATACGAGGCAGGTCCTTATCAAAACGACATCTACCTAAAGCTACTCAAGAAATAACTCCCGTACCCCTTGACACCAATCAAACCCAGCCCCTCCCACTCATATATTTGTCCAGTCTCTTCTTAAAAACTACCCAAGGTCCCAACCTCTATCACCCCACTGGGGAAAACGTTCCACGCATCTACAACTCTGTTAGAAAACCAGTACTTACCTATTCCTTTCTAAAACAAAAATTTTTCCAACTTAAATCCATTATTCCTGGTTCTTACCTGGTTCGAAAACCCTCAGTACTTTATTAATGTCTCCCTTGTTTATGCCCGTCATCCACTTATACACCTCAATGATATCTCCCCTCATTCTAAAGCCTCCCAGAGAGTGGAAATTTTAAAGGGTTTAAGTCTATCTTCAAGGGGGGTTCCTTACACAGAAACATTTTTGTCATTCTTCTCTTATGTTTTTCTAATAGCTAGTCCATCCTTTTTAAAAGGGGGACAAAACTGAGCAGCATAATTAAATGAGGCCCACTAGTGATGTAAAGCGAAAAAAATAACTTTTGGACTTCTGTTACTTATACTTCTTGAGAAAAATCCAAGTAATCTGTTGGCTTGTTGCGCACAACTGAGGCACTGCTGTCTTGGCTTTAGATTTCTGCTTACCTGACTCCCAAGTTTTTTTTCACATTCTGTATGACCCAAGCTCTACTTCACCTAGATTATAGCTTCGAGGGTTTATTTTCATTACCAAGGGCAAGTACCTTACACTTATCCACATTAAAACTTCATCTGCCAATTCTCAGACCAAGACATTAATTTGTTCAAATCGTCCTGGAGTTCATTGATATCCTCCTCAGAGTGAATTAAAACGCCTATCTTTGTATCATCACCCAAACTTACTCATGTCACTAGTAATCCCTTCATCAAGGTCATTAATGTAAATTAGAACAAGAGAGGGCCTAAAACTGATCCTTGTGGAACGCCACTAGTGACTAATCCCCATTCAGATTTCACTCCTTTTAATGGTAACTCTCTGCTTTTATTGGTAAGCCATGTCTCAATCCATGCTAGAAAATTTACCCTCCCATACCATGAGCTGCCACTTTTTTTAAGAGTCTCTTGTGAGGTACTCTGTCGAAGGCTTTACTAAAATCCAAATAAACAATATCATATTCCTTATCACTGTCAACTGCCTCAAATGTTCTATTGAAGAACGTCAGTAAGTTTGTCAGGCAGGAACGACCTCTCGTGAATCCATGCTGAGATTCATTTATCAAATAATGCTCTTCAAGGGGACTTCTGATAATGTCAGCTATAATTTATTCTAATAACTTGCCCACTATAGATGTCAGGCTTATTGGACGGTAATTTGAAGGATGGACTTATCCCCTGATTTGAATATAGGAACCACATTACCATCTTCCACATCTCTGGCACAACAC